ATCAAGACGCTGTTGCCATAGCGTAAGATTATTGATCTTTCTAATTTCAGTTTCCAATCAATTAAAATTGTTTTGAAGTATGTTTTGCCTTACTCTGTAAGAGGCAAAAGTAAGGGTTATGAGATACAGCTGGATACAGCACCCTTAGAGATTGTGTATATTAACTCTCAACTTACAATTGTAAGCAGCTTATTGATAACATAAGTTTAATAATTGACTCCTAAGTTTCCATACCATATAAATTTTTAATAAACAAACACAATTTAGTGGGAAGGAGGACACCACCATTAGTAGCATGCACCCTCTCATGCCAATCGTGAAAGTACACATACTCATAGATATACTGTGGGTACTATTGCAGTCAAAGTATTTGTCATATGAATTGTTTTCTTCAAGTTACCATTGGCATGAGAAAACATCGCATAACGGCTTTGAAATATAGCAATAACAGCATTACTGCATAGCGTGGGTTTCCTCTATGCAGCCCATGCTTAAAAATGACATGAAAAATAACTATGCTGCTTGATTAGAAATAGGATACCAGTAAATTATTTTACGACTCCAAGTAATTGTAGCACGACTTTAAGTTCTGTTTAGTTTTTTCTATGAGGAAGCAAACAATCATTGACTACTGCGAAATCTGACGCGAAATACACTTTTAAAAAGAAATAAAATGTAAAGAATGTCATTTGAAAGAAGCGTAAAAGGTTGTTAAAAGAAGAGAATATTTATAAAACGTAATTGGTTGCTCATATAATTCCTAAACAGTATTGTAGAAACCACAGATTATGGTAAGTTTGCAAAAAATAAAAATAAAAATAAAAAGTAGCTCAGTTAGTCAGTTAGATGAGTTTTAAAAATGTTAAAATGATATATTTCGTCACTACGGTACAAAGTACAAATATGACCGCCTGAAGGGCGCACTTACTGTATGTTTGTGCCCGAGTCGCGTAAAACGTTTTTCTTAACGAGGGCGCAAAGTGCAATTTTGCACTTAGGTAGTTTTCTATACCCAGTAAATCACACTAGACCTTAGGGCAGAAAAGCACTTTAGGCCCGGTGGGCGCAAAAAACTTTTCTGCCCGTGAGCCTCAAGTGATGACAAGAGTGCAAAGCCGCAGTTGCAAGATGTGTTGATTTTGAATTGCAACCCTCGCTCTTTCCAGCCTGACTAGTTATGATCACGTAAGAACTCTATTTTTCCTATCTTGGGCGTTTTTAATGGTCGGGTGTGCCCTCGGTAGAAAAAACAGTGTTCAGTACACAAGTACTTACCATCTATCTAAAGCTACCTTATGATCCCTTGGACCGCAAAATACTCCTGGAGGTGATGGCACTTTTGTTACAAAAACTACCATTTTCTACAAAGGGCTCAGTCAACGTCCAAAGGTTTAAAAAAACGCCTTAAGTAGGACATATATTTTATGTCATTAATAATTAATGACATAAAGAAATGTAATACGTGAAAAAATATTCCAGTGTAATATTCAATGAAAGAAAACTAAAAAAACTTTTCAGAAAAAAGAGGACAAATTTTTTATTTAAACCCAGATAACAGCTTGAACTTTTTTCCTCGATGTTATCAGAATCGATTCTCAAAGAGATCTGCAAGATAAACCAAATTTTCGCTCACTTTTTAAAATAACATTTTTTTTTAATTGCCATGGCAACGAACTCGAACATGTACGTTCGCCTGTTAAATATTTAAAAACGAAAACAATTGAAACTTTTTAATGACGACAATAAATTATAATAGTAATAACAATAATAATAATAATAATAATAATAATAATAAGAGAATCACTGTTTCTCATTGATATGAACACGTCCTTTCTTTCGTCTTAAAAACCAGCTCCCGACCAATCGTCTGCAAGAGTGCCCCTTTGCACGTATTATTGATGGCCTTTTATTCAAGTCATTTATGTTTCACGTATTACTTTTTATTTAAGGTAGTAGTCGATCAAAAACACTTATCTTACGATTTTTCTAAAATTTTGTGTGTGCCTTAAGATTGCTATTATTTATCATGAGCCAAAATTTGAAGAGGCTTAGCGGTATAGTTTTAGAGATATTAAAGTTTTAATGTTGAACTTTTAACACAGGAGGTATAGGAAAGCGCCGGATTGGGGGTCGATTTGTGAACGAAATTGCTTATATCTCTAAAACGCTTCTTACAATGTTTCGTAAAAAATAGTATGATATAATTTATATTATAAAGCAACTGTGGTTCCAATTGAAAAGAGCTCAGCGGTATAGTTTTGTTGTTCGAGCTTTGCAAAGTTGATAAATTCAGTGAAATTCGCTCCTACAACGTTGTCATTTTTCGAGGTAGTTGTCGAAGCGATATATATAGTATACGCATACGCTACAGCGCATTATGGCACGCACTGTAGAGTGCTCGACTACTACCTTAAATCAACGATAGTTTAATATTGTAATCTAAATTACGATTAAAAAAAAAAAAATTTTTTTGGAGCGAAGTTCCTTTTCTCGTGTTATGAGTTTTGGGCGCATGAGGGCTAGACCGAAAAAAGTGTAACAAGACTCTTTTCCAACCTCGCTATAGTAATACAGCCGTGTACAAAGCTATATACATTGTTTCAGGCAGCTCTCTCTTCATGAGCGCGCACCGAAGGACCTGACAGCTCTCTTTTGTTCGGCCTCCTTCGGTTGTACTCGGCCAGTAGCTCCTCCTACCCGCGCCGCGTACCGTCAGCACTACCGACACATTTATAGAGTCCGCTGTAAGTATATACGTATAGCTTAAATCGTCATATAACGTATTAGTCTCTTCCCGCTTCGCGCACCCCGCGCTATTGCACAGATTTCACCGGCTGTAAAAATGGCTGTTTAGTTCATTGCCCGAAAAAAAAAAATACGATACAATCTTTTGTTTTACTGTAGAAAAAAAATTAATCATTTCCCTACAAAATTTTCCCAGGAGCATGGGAAAAATCGTTTTGTCAAAATCCGAAGTTGATTTCATGTATTTATTTAAAAATTTATGGTTGGTTGCCTACTTTTTATTTAGTTTTTTGCTTTTATCTCCGCTTCTATTACTCGTAGAGCCATTTTACAACCACCAATCTTTTTGTCATCAAATTTTCTACTAAATGAACATCTTTGTAAATGTATTATTTATTATTATAACACACTAATGGTAACAAAGAGTAAAAAAAATTTTGTTTTAAACAATCAATGGAAAAAAAGAACTACCATGTCAATTTGAAAGTAACCGTGAGAAAACATAGATATAACGTTGCACAATAAGAAGCTATTTTTAAAATTAGAGAATAATTATTAGTTTTTGCTGATTAATTGTTTAAAGTGATACTTGAAAGTGTTATTACAAACGTAATTGTTTGTTTACAAGAATGATTGTGCTGTTGTGTAGACACAGTCACAATTCATGTTTTTATTTTTTATCTGTTTTCGTAGGACATGTCTTAACACCAACACACAAAAAATGTATTACTTACTCGAACCTAATACTCAAATAGCTTGACATTTTATCCTACACATTACAACTGTATGTGGCCAATGTCTACAAAAAAGCGAATGGAACTTCGTTCCAACCAGGGGTCCATAGACCCCTCATGCCTGGTTTTTTTGTTGGTGTTTGCAAACACTTTAGGCAGGCTAAACAAGATTAAATTATGAAATTAGTAATAAATTTTAGAAACTATCTTTGAAGTAAGAATAGTAATAAAATTTTATTCAGTAGAATGTTTAATAACTATTTATCTTACTTTCATATTTTCAATAATTGATCTTAAGAATATGGTAGAGACTAGAAAAAGTTGTCTGAAAATTTTTTGAATAAATAGTACAAAATATACAAATGAATTTTCCTAAAATGATTATTTGAAGATAAAGAAGACATTGCAGGAAATGTTGCAATAATATACTAAAAAGAATACCAAATATTTCTGTAATAATTACGCGACAACTTGTGTTATCTTTTGGCTATTTTATTATTTTTTTTCTTTTTTTCACAATTATAGAAAAATGGAAGCTTTGAGATGACAATTTCAAACATCATTGTACGTTTTTTAAAAGTTTTACTAATAATTTTGCAAGACATAATATTCATAATTAAATGTTTTATAATGACGTATTAGTCAAAATGATGCTAAGTATTGGTGCAGTATTTAGCTCTTGGGTTATTTTTCAAGTATAGTTTTTTTTCTTTTTAAAAAAACTTTCGAAAAATATTTATACAACTCCTAGAAGAAAGGTGGAAAATTTTTTTTGTAATAAAATATTGCAGCCTAAGATAAATATTTTTTTAAACAATACAATAATATGTCATGAATTATCCCTAAAATTTATGGGAAATGTTTCAAAAATTTTTAAATAAGATTTCTATGAAAATATTATATGTTTACAGAATTATTGAAAAAATCATTCCTGAAGATTTCATTGCAATTATTGACACAAATTTTACTATATGTTCCGGGAAGACTTATGCAAAATTTCTTTAATTTTTTTTTCAAAACAATTCAGTTATATTTCATTTCATTGTCGGCCAATGAAGTCTACATGTTACATCGAAAACTCACATGTGCAAGTAACATCTTTCAACTTTTCCTAAAAACAGAATGAGATACTTGAAACCAATCTTAGATAGGTAGCATTTCAGACTTTCTGTTTAAATGGTACATTCTATGATGGGATGAAATTTTTTACCACAATCGTTTTTTGTAGTAGATTGCTATCTAAAGTTGGAACAATTCATACAACTACAGAGTGCTGCCAAATTTACACAATAAAACTTTTTTAATTGCTGTTTCAATCAAATCATTCAACTCAGCAAAGTTGTCAGGTGTGGTGTCGTGGCAAAACTACCTGTTGACGATAAGAGGATATTTTCTGGTATGCATTATCAAAAGTACTTAATAAAGATAAGATTTGAAGTCACCACTATGAGTTTTATATTAGTGTAGGATCACAAAAAATTGATATTGTAAGTTAAAACTTGAATTTGTGTCATACTTTACCTTCTTTTACTTTAGATGTAGATGAACCTTTATCTTGGCAGTACATGGTTATTCACTAACAGCATACATGGTTAACTCCACTACCTAACTTCATTTAATAAAATGCATTACATCAGCAACTTGAGTTTGTAGAAATATCTTTTCGACATAATTATTGAAAAATTAATTTACTACTTGCTAAAAAAATGTTACATTCAAACTTCAACAGTTACTTTTGTGTCAATAAGAAACAAGGTCGACATTGAACAAACAAAAATGAGTTTTTCCTTGAAATCATTTTTCTCTCATATCTTATGTTTACTACTTTCCAACCATCAACGATTATATCTTGGATTTAAAAAAGATTCGATGATACTTGGCATTACATTGTAGCTTTCAGTGAGCCATATAATGACTTGTAGGGGCTTGGATAATAAGGTATTACATTTTTTTAACCTCCTGTTCTTGCTACTGGTGCTAAATAAGTATTGAATAGAACAATTAAGAAGTGTACAATAATTTCTCTAAGGTTGGAATACAGATTAATTCCACTTAATTAAATATTAAATATGACAATAATAAAGTGTACAATAATTTATCTAAGGTTGGAATACACATTAATTCCACTCAAACAGACGACCCTGACAAAAAATGACCACTAGATGGCCATAGCTTGAAACCAGGACCTAGCCAGGCAGCCGAGGCAGGCCCTGGCCAGTGTTGTAATGAGTTTATCGAAAGGTCATGGCCAAGCCCTGATGTTGGAATACATATATATGTAGGCACATAATGTAACCTTCGAGACCTAAAACATACGCACATAAGTACACATGTATGTGTAGACACACGTAGTGAGCTTCAAGGGAGTGAGCAGCAGAACCGCCGCTGTTTGTTGCAAAATCTACAAGGTGTAAATATCTTCCTACATAATGTATAGTTGTAAGGGCAGGGCTTTCCACACTACCCCCCGAACCCCCTGCAGACCACCCGCCGCAAAATGAGGGAAAATTCGATTACTATCAATAATATTACAACCCAACAAAATAACAGCCTAAGACCATAGAGATATTATAGATAGAGTAGGCAAGCCTGTAAGTGGAAGCGTTAACACGTTAAAAAGAGATGCAACATCGAGCCAACTTTCTATCTCTCTCTGTGCTCGCTGCTGATTGGCTACAGATGTTTTACGTATATGTAGGCATTGGCAATCCGTATCGACCAAAGAGAGAGATAGAATGGTAGCTCGATGTTGCATCTCTTTTTATCGTGTTAACGTTTCCACTTACAGAAGAATCGGTGACTTGCCTACTCTATCTATAATATCTCTATGCCTAAGACCCACTGAGCCCCCCCTGACCCGCAACCCTCCGCACAGTTATTAAGGTCCTCCCATGACCACCCCGGAGCCACCATCCGCAAAATAAGGGAAAATTCCGTTCATTTCACCGTTATTTTGACCAATTAAAAAACTCCCTTAGTTTTCTCTAAGCCCCCTCACGCACCCCGCACGATTTTAAAAGCCCCTCCCTCCCGCCCCACCGCAGCTGCTCCACTATATGTCATGTTAGCTGGGGTCTGATCGGGGCATTCGATATCTCGCTCAAGTAAGCAGTTTTTTCGATAATCCCTAAACTACGCATGCGCATTGTCGTTGTTTTTGGTTATTTTATAGGGATTATCGAAAAAACTGCTCATTTAAGCGAGATATCGAATGCCCCGATCAGACCCCTGTAGCTAGTAATCGCAAGCCGCAGCTCCTTCAACTTACGGTAAACGATCTGGTAGCTATACATAGTTTTTTTTTTATATTATAGTGCTCTACGTCCGGCTCCTTCAATAAGGGCACCACTATGGGCACTTAACACTTGGGAAAGGGACAAAGAAAGGGATGGGAGGCCTCCCATTACTGGGAGAGGGGTAGGGGGAAATTAGGCAATTATGCTGCGAGGAGGTCCGCCTAAACCCTCCTCGAGGAGCATTGCGTGGTGAAAAAGCACATATGAAAAATCACAGGGGTACTTGCCCGAAAAGTCGTACTGGCCGGGAATCGAACCACGGTTTTCCGCGTGCCAATCCACGACCTAGCCGACCGAGCGCTATACATAGTTATATATTTTTTCCACACCGCCCAGGAAGCAAATAGATCGACTTTGTACTTATCTACAACAAGTTCAAAAAATACAGAGTGTAGTTATTATTTGAAATTAATATTAATAAGTATAAAATCTGAGGCGCGTTGACCTTATTTTTGTCTGTATTATTTCTTTTTTACGTTGAGTTTTAAATAGACGTATTACAATTCGTGATTCCAATGAAAAAAAAAATTTGCTTCATATGTGGGAAAGGTTTCTCTAGAAATGACGTATTGAAGAGACATGTTGGAAAAATACATCAAAAACTTAAATATATAACAACATATTTCAAAAAAAATTTTTTTTTGTTTTTGTTTGATTTGTGATAAATCTTAATTCTTTTTACAGATGGATTCAAAACACTGTAATTTACATGAAAGGGCTACTATCAAGATATGTTCAAATGCTACTGTCAAGATCAAATTTTTAAAGTTATAACTAAACATTGTTCGATTAATTTTTAAACAATTATATTACAATTTATCATTGAATTCATGTGCAAACCAATAATACTAATCTATGAAATAGTATGATAATTATTCTAATAGATAAGTTAATACATTCAGCTCTCCACATTCGCGTATTGATAAATTTTAGCCAATACAAGGTTAGCTGTGTATCAAATACAATGTTTTTAAACTTAACTATAAAAAAAAAAACTGACTTAGGGTGAGTTGAACTGCAGATATCAAATCAAACAACTATACTTTTTTTACCCTCCTGCGCTTAGTGCAATGACGCTTTGTTACCAGATCATAGTTTAGCTAAATTTAACCAAATTAAAGTAGGTTAATTAACCTCTGAATAAATAAGTGGCAACACAAGCACCTCTCACTAAGCAATTTACTGCTGATAGGCGGTTGACGCGCAGGTATGCGAAGCCTCCACACACACACACACGCGCATATATATATATATATATATATATATTTTGGCCAGGTGCATGTCATGCAGCGATGCAGCGCCACTCTTGGTGTCAAAATCATGCAACCGTGGGTACCCACATTATACGTCAATAGCATACACCGATGCACACTTTTAGTAACAATCAATTAATTAGCAAAAAATTAGTATATTTCTTCGTCCGATAATGGATGTTATCATAAAAACAGGCTTTAGCAATATCACACACTCGATTTGTTTCAACTCTGAAGCCTTAAAAAAAGGTAAATAGTTAGTTGAAAGTAGTCATGTGTGCGATGTTACTGAATTCCAAAAAGTGATGGAGCTGGCAATTTGACAAGTGCCGTCGTAATAAGGCAGACCTCGGTAACTATATATAGACGTAAATTGTCGGACTAGTATCTCATCCACTCTGGCCAAGTGGAAAGATGCTTACCATGATAATTTGGGGGCTCGAGATCGTGTCCCGTGATAGCCGAATTTGTTTTTTTTTTTTTCCTATAACTGTTGATATTTTAGGTAATCATTCTATTAATGTATAAATTATAATTGTTGCACAAAATTTGTTTATTTATTTTTCTTTCAGAAATCTCACCTGAGATCTCAGATGAGATCTCTACGTCCTGAAGTATTGGGTAAAAGGAGCTTGCGTTATAACTTTACATTTTAGTTATTTATGGGTGTGGCCAGTAAGTGCCCAGAGTCATCAGGTAATAGTTGCTTGCATCGTTGTTTAGACTTTATTATTTATTAGAGTGACAAGAAAGCATTCTAGGTCCTTGAGTTATGGGCGCTCGCGTTATTACTTAACTTTTTGATTATTTATTAGAGCAACCAGTAAACGCCCTGGATTATTAGGTTAAGGGAGCTTGCGTTATTGCTTAACATTTCAAGTATTTATTAGAGTGGCCAGTAAGCGCCCCGGGTCATTGGACAACAGTCGCTTGCGTTATTGTTCAAGATATTATAATTTAATTGCGTGGCCAGTAAGTGCCTCGGGTCATGGGGTAATAGTCTCTTGCGTTATCCGTTTCGTGCAGCAATTTGAGAGAGCGCTTCCTGCAGGGGAAAAGATGTTGATACTAACTAACAAGAATACAAAGCCTCTTACGAGCTATGATCTAACATAAGTGTATATTTCAACAACAATTATCTTTAACAAATAAAATGTGTTGTTTCAGTCCTAAGCTGAACACTCATAGCAAAAAATACTTTTTTTATAATTTAATGAAAAAAAAGTAAATTTGACGTATGAAATGCCTACAATCTATGAATAAGCATAATAAATATTACTTTTTAATGTGCTGAATGAAAGTACTCTACGAAATAAATCAATATTTAAGGAAAACTGCTAATTTCACTCACGATATACAAAAATGTGAGATAACTAATTTTTTTCAGCAATGCACTGGCAAGTTTTTTTTCGAATTGAGCGAGGCGCATGCGTATACGTGGATGTAAGATATAAGTCATATAAGATATCAGGTGCGAATAGACAATTAATAAATTGATACATCGTTAAGTTAATCGTTAATAAGCGAGGTACATGCAATAGAAGCGCTCAAAAATACGACAGCTCATTAGTGTCAACTCAGGTTATTTCATGAACCTACTTGACAAATCTTTTAATTATATTGGATAATAAATATGACACATAAAAGTAAACTGTATATGAATCGAAAATTTATTTATTTTTTTCAATTATAATTTTCTTAAAAGAGTAATGTACTCATGCCACCCATTTCACTTTGTTCTTTTACAAAAATTTCAAAATATTGATAAATAATTGTAACAGCAAGTAAAATACCGGTTCCAGAACCAATTGCACCCAGAAAGTCTGCTAATACTGAAAGAGCACCAATACAAAGACCACCAAAAGCCGCTGCTGTCGGAATGTAACGATTTAACTCATGTATTAGTGATCTTTCACGATGACCTTGCATAACCATTTGAGAATCCTTCAATTGTTTAGCAACCTTAAATATGATTAAAAATTATAATTACATGTGTTACAGATTACAGAGAAGACAATATATTTTTTTATAATTTACATCTTTGGCTGAACTTCCAGATATTTCGATCCAACTCTTGGAAAAGAATGCACAAGAACCCAGCATAAACAGAATGTAAAGTATGGCATGAACAGGATCTTGAACAATATGGCCAATGGACTCTGGTGGAGAAAGATAATAACATAGTCCACCAACAGGGTAAGATCGAGCAGGACCTCCCCCCCCTATGTCTGACCATACACCAAGCAAATTCACAATAATATTACCATGGAATTTCACAGCCAACATTTGAGAGATAACATATAAATTTGACACTAGAGCAGACTGAAGAATTATTGGAATGTTGCTGGTGTAAAAAAGTTTAATAGGATAACTACTTTGCTGTCCACGATATCTAGCCGATTTTATAGGGAGATCCACTCGGAAACCCTACGAAAATACAAATTGTGAAGTTACATCTCTTTAGATTTATTATATTATTAAGTTTTATTCACTATGCAATTGAAGAATTGTTGAGTTAAAAAAAAATTCTGACATAGTGCAAGGCTGCATTTTGTAAAGTATGATTACTACACTGAAGGTTTTTTTAGAAATATACTTGAAATATGAAAGCAATAAAATCGATTAAACAATACAGTATAGGGTAAAATAATTACCTGGAAATAAATTACTATAGCAAATACTAAGATGGTTGCTAAAAGATTCATTAAATTTGGCAAATTCTGACGATAGAAAGCCTCTCTGAGAGCTCGGACTTTGTCTTGTCTGGTAGCTATGAGATGAAATAAGGCAATTACTGCACCTTCAAATTCAGTTCCACGTCCAGTATTAACAGTAGCTGGAGAAAATGCTTTCCAAACAATAGTTTCACAAATGTTTGTAGCAATAAATAAGGAAATTCCACTTCCTAAACCATATCCTTTTTGGAGTAATTCATCCAAAAGTAAAACAATGAGTCCAGCAACAAATAACTGAATAATTATTAGTAAACAGACTCCAGCCCCTATTTCAGCTGGATCTCCATACATTCCAGTCATAACATAGACAATAGCTTGGCCAACAGTAATAACCATTCCAAATACTACAACAAAAATTGCGAGTAATAAAGTGGAAAGATCATTAATATTTTACAATCTGTGTTCATTGTTGAGATATATTTAATGTTGTTTTTAAAAAATATTTTTTTTTTTATATGAAAAATGCTTTAGGCGAGCATTGGAAACTTTTGACTTGTTAAAATTAAGACAATTTTTTTTCAAAAATTACATTTTTGTGCTCCATTAAATAAGGCTCTATCTTTTGCTGTGTCACCAACTTCTATAATTTTGACTCCAGCCAGCAGTTGCATAATAAGGCCAGATGTTACAATTGGAGAGATGCCAAGTTCCATCAAAGTTCCTCTGTTAGATGCGAGAATTACTCGAATCCAGTAGAAAGGATCTGCACTGTCTGAAGACATGATACCAAATAGAGGAATCTGAAGGAAATAACGGCAAATCATAATACACGTTTCATAATCTTATGTTACAAAATTTGAGTAAGAAATACTCACTTGACAGCATACTAAAAAAATAAATAAAGTGATTGCTGTCCATAGTACTTTTTCTCTGAACTGGATCTGCACAGTAATTATATTTAAAAATTTTAAAAACAAAATCTAGTACAAAAGAAATTCACAACATAAAAGTGTTCTTTTTATAAACATATGGTATGTCGATGCTTCAAACCAATTGATTAAAACAATAACTTTAGAGAAATATTAGTAAATTTTGTATTATGGTAACAATTACGTTTATGATAATCCAATAAAATCATAGAAGGTTTTTGGCAAGTAAAAAAAAAAAATCAATAAACAAACCTTGCGTTGCGGTTTTGCTATCTCTGGTAAAATGCTGCAGAACGGTTTAATAACCTCAAGAAATTTAACTGTAAAAAAAATAATTAAAACGTATTTAAAAGTAAAACTGCTTTCTTTTGAGTCAACTGGTAAGTTATGTGATATCCATTTCTAGTTGACACAAAGTCAGCCGTTTAAATGAGCTTCATCACTTACTGGCCATAGTTAATAATAAGCTGAGGCCAAATGAGTTTGAGTATTAATGTATGAGATCTGTTTTCTAGATGCTTGAAACGAACTTCTTGTAATGGAAAAAATCTAAGTAATTCTCAATACAAAAAAATTATTGCGATCAGCAACGCCACGTGAGCAGCTGCATAGCTATGATACAAAAGAATACGACTACTCTTACAACTTCACACCAGTTATAGCGATTAAGAGAACGCGTGTTCAACTGTCCGCACACTGCCGACGACCCTATACGTTGCGCCTCTTCTATATCCCTTCCGGCTATTTTATTGCTCAAGCAAAGTTGTCGACGTGGCCGTACATCGCAGGTCACTCAACTGGGCATCCGGGGAGAAACATAAAATTGATACAATACAAAAAATAATGGACTAAGTGTTTTTAATTGCAAGTTTTATTCGTACGAACTGTTTGAATTGCTCACGTTGTAGATCACTATAAAAAATTTTCTTAAAAAATGGACTTGCGTCGAGATTATTGGAAGACTTGGCAAGTATATTGGAACTTGAAAGTCAGTATCAATCGGCCCCATGGCACTGTAGACCAAGAGCTGAGACCAGAGAGTGGTTAAAATCTTAACCAGCCGCCACTCTCACCAGAATTAGGAAACCTCATCATTCGTAAAGATCCAAAATCTTTTTGTCATATTTTATTTTGGTAAAGAGTTTTGTTGGTATTTAAAAAGTGCCATATGGTTCATTTATAAACCAGCCGCAACTTAAATTAATAGATAGAAAATGAAAAGTTGTCATGAAAGTGTCATTTGTGGCACGAGAAGAATGCATCTTGTACCCGAAAATCGACTTTCAACAAAATTTGCCACCTACCTGATCTTATCTATAATATTCATCCAAGATTATAGATGAGGCATTTTACATAAAATTATAGATAAATTTTTTTTTTTTTTATTCATCATCGCCCCTTAAGGGCTCAGACATGGCTATTTTGACACTATAAAGTGTATTTAGCCATGCGTTGGGTTTAATAACAGTAGTATAGATAACATTACAATATCCACATTTTTAGAGGTCGACTTTTGGGTGCAAGATGTATTTTAATCTTGCCGCGAATGGAATTTTCTGATGACAATTTTTTATTTTCTATTTATTGATTTAAGTTGCGGCTGGTTTATAAAATGGATTATATAGAACTTCTTAAATACCAACAAAACTCTTTGCCAGAATAAAATATGACCAAAAGATTTTTGATATCTATGAATCATAAGATTTCTCAATTTTGGAAAGAGTGGCGGCTGGTTAAAACTTTAACCTTCATGGGTCTCAGCTCTTGGTCTACTAGAGCCACTGTCCTAGGTTAATCTTCATGAAGTGGCGAATTTCAAAAATGGGGAGAGAACAGAGAAGGCTTAAGCTTAAACCTAGTCACAATTGTGACTATTAGGCTGCAGTCCCATGGCTGCAGCTCTGATTGGCTGTTTCTATTGCGGATAGTCTATTACAGAGCTCTATTTCGTACCATGAGACTGCAGCCTCAGTGCCACCAGCTTTTCTATCCTTACACATTGTGCCGTGGACCCGTGGTCCTTGGTTCCGAAGTTTCGAGAGAAGGGCAGAAGCCTTCTGGCAGATGGCTCTCAAGGGCCGATCCCAATAGGTTTGTTCATTTATCCAGCTTCGACTCGGACTACTTGAAGTTCAGAGCTTGAAGCGGATCCACAAGGATACACCATAGAGGTATAAGAATAGAGGAGAAAAGGGGGCGTGATATGCGACAGCAGAATTAGTATAGCGCTTTTCCCCTCTATTCTTGTACCTCTATGGTATAAACATACGGACCCCTGTACCATAGAGCACACCAGACAAGAATTTGATCCGAAAGCTAAGACCAGGGCCTGGTTAGGCGAGCCTCACATCGATGCCAGGACCTGGGCAGGGTATGTATATATTTATATATATATATAAATTGGCCAGGCCCTGATCATAGCCTGGGGTAAAACTCATCATACCGTGTGACAAACTGTACATTCAAGCCTGCCCAAGTCCTAGCATCGATGTGAGGCTCGCCTGACCAGGCCCTGGTCTTAGCTTACGGATCAAATTCTTGTCTGGTGTGCTCTATGGTACAGGAGTCCGTATGTGTATACTTGTGGATCTGCTTCAAGCTCTGAACTCCAATATACATATATATTGGTGGAGCTCCGCCCCCTGTGCGCTCCGCGCGCCAACCACCCCCCCCCCCTTGTTGTGTTATAAGTCAAATTTTTTCAAAATAAGCTTTGCATTAATATTTTATAAAGCCTTAAAAAATGATAAAAATAATTATTAGTATGAAAAAAAATATGTTAAAGTATATTTGACAGAATTCGGAAGACTACGGCATTTTTCGAAAACACTCGGGAATACATGTTCTACGCTGGGAAATGATTACTGGGCTGCTTTTAATGAAATATGAAGAACAAGCAGCTAATTTTAAATAAAAGTGGTAAAGTTTACATAGAAAGAGAGATGTGCCCTTCAATTTTTTTTTGTGAGCTTTATTATTTCTTCTAGTGGCCCCCTTTTTTAAATGAGCTGCATATCCTGTGTGTGTCAATAGATATTTCTAAGACCTCGTTCTAAACTCTTATAACTATCTCTGCCCCTTGCGCGCTCTGCACACCAACCCCCGTAATTGCAAATATAGATTTTTGGGGATTTCACGAGTGAGCCTCTCCCCGAAGCTCGAGGATGACGGAGGTAGAGTGCCAGATCGTGGAAAGAGGAAGCAACGCGTACCAAAATACACATTTATTGAATACAACAATTGGATAAAGTATTAAGTACTTTTGTCGCTGGTCGGGACGAGGCTCGTACCGTCGTCGTCGCTGGTCGAAGCGAGAGTAAACGAGAGAGTCGGGTAGCGCCCGCTACCTAAAGGTGGGCGCTGTATTGACGGCGTCACAGGGAGGTGGCGCACTCTCGCGCGCATTACCACTCTCCTCGCGGGATGAGCTGCTGCTTGCAGCGCGAAACCTGCTTGGTGCTTCGGCTGGGGCCTGACGCCACAGGGACTCCCCCTCCAGTCCTGTCGGCCAGAGGCAGGCAGAACGACACCTGTTGCTTGACCTTGGCAGGCCGAGGTTACGGCCTCCGCATCGGAGTCGGTGTTGGTGTCGTCTTTGGCAACGGTGCTGGTGTTGGCGCCAGTGTTGTCGTTGGTACCAGCGTCGGCGTTGTCGTTGGTCCCGTTGGCTGTGGAGGTGCTGGGGCAGCGACATTGAAATCGGTCGTCGGCAGGTCAGCTGCCTCGAGGTGCGCTGGCTTTAGCGTGTCCGTGGAGACAGTGCGTGGTTGACCGTTGATCTCGATGGTGTAGGTCCGTTTGTTGATGCACCTGACGACCTTGTGTGGCACCGTGTATGGAGGGTCCAGAGGCCTCCGGATTGCATCAATGCGTTGGAAGACGTGCGAGCACCTCTGCAGATCAGCGAAAACAAAAGGCTTCTGGGAAGGCACATGTCTTGACGCCTGGATGGGCTTGATGGCCTGTGTCAGGCGTCGAAGCCCGTGGAGGATGGAGGGCTGACGATTGGCTGGCTCTGCACGAAAAAAAACTCGCCAGGCACCCTCAGCGTAAAGTCAAAGAGCATCTCGGCCGGTGATGCCTGGAGTTCCTCCTTAAAGGTGTTGCACAGTCCCAGGAGGACTGAAGGCAGTGCTTCAGGCCAGAGGGCGTCTGGGCAGCACATGAGTCCCGCCTTGAATGTTTGGTGGAAACGCTCCACCATCTCGTTTGGTTGTGGGTGGTAGGGCGTGGTTTGGATGCGGTTGGAGCCTATCATATTGGCTAGCTCGGTAAATAGGGCAGACTCGAACTGGGCTCCTTGGTCCGAGGTGATGGTGAAAGGCGTTCCGAAACAGGCAATCCAGTTGTCGTATAGAGCCCTGGCGACAGTGGAAGCCTGCTGGTCAGGGATGGGAACGGCTACTGGCTACCTGATAAACCTGTCTATGACGGTCAAGCAGTATTGGATAGCTCCTGCAAAGAAGCATCTTCACGAGGTCCACGTAGATGTGGTCAAAATGCCTCTCCGGCGCGTCGAAATTGCCAAGAGCTGTTCGATTGTGCCTCTGGACTTTCGCACGCTGGCAGGGTTCACATCGCTGGGCCCATCGTGATACATCTCGGCGCATTTTGGGTCACATGAATTTTTCGGTGACCAGGCGTACTGTCGCTCTGATGCTGGGATGCACGAGGTTGTGAAGAACCTCGAAGGCTATCTTGCGGAGGCTCTCAGGCAGGTACGGCCTCACGGTCCCCGTTGAAATGTCGCAGCGGATGATGTGACCGTCGATGGTCATCGGCTGCAGACTGAGATGAGGGTCATCGAGCAGATGCTCGAGCTCGTCATCGACCGCTTGCGCGTTGGAAATGACCTCAGGATCGAAGATCGAGGGCATGGCCACTGCGTTGATGCGCGAGAGCGCGTCGGCGACGACGTTTTCCTCGCCCTTGACGTGGGAAAGCGTCACCTGGTGCTGGAGGATATGTAGTCAAGTTGGCGGGCCTGTCTCGCCGAGGCCTTGTCGGAGCACTGACAGGCTGCGAACGTGAGCGGCTTGTGGTCTGTGTAGACTGTAAAGGGCCGTCCCTCCTGGACGCGCTCAAACGTCTTGATGGCGGCGAAGATAGCCAACAGCTCCCTGTCGTGAGCGCTGCAGCGCCTCTCGGTCTCCGACAGCTTTCTGGAGAAGAAACTCAGTGGTTTCCAGGTACCACGAGGGTGCTCCTGCTCGAGGACTGCTCCGATCGCAGTATCGGATGCGTCGGTCCTCAGGGCAATCGAAGAGTTGCTCCTCAGGAACGTCATTGTAGCAGCCTTGGCTAGTGCATCCTTGCACTGCTGGACGGCTACATCAGCCTCAGGTGTCCAGGTGAGTGGGGCCTTTTTCTTTCTTGGAGGAAGGTCGCGCAGCAGATCGTTCAGTGGGGCCATGACCTTGGCAGCTCCGGGCATGCAGCGCCTGTCAAAATTCAGCATACCCAGGAACCGGCGGAGCTCGGTGGAGTTCTCTAGCTTCGGGAAGTCCTGAATGGCCTGGACCTTGCGTGCTGGTGGACAGACTCCATCGTCAGAAACGGTGTAGCCCAGGTATTCGACCTAGGGTTGGCCCAAGGTGCACTTCTGCGGGTAGATGCGGAGCTTCGCCTTGCGCAGGACATCAAAGACCTGGCACAGATGTTTCAAGTGCTGTTCGTGGTCCACAAAAGCTACGAAGATGTCATCGAGGTAACACCTGGCGAAGGGAAGCTCACGCAGGACGTGATCCATCGTCCGCTGGAGTGACTGCGCCGCGTTGTGCTGACCCATTGATGACCTAGTGAATTCGTACAAGCCGAAGGGGGTCGTCACCACGGTCTTGGGGATGTCGTTTTCGGTGATTGGGATTTGGTAGAAGGCTTTTCTCAGGTCTGCGACCGAGAAAACCTTTCTCGCGGCCTCCTGCAGTAGGTCGTCGATGATCGGCAAGGGATAGTGGTCAGGCGTTATACAAGCGTTCAGACACCTGTAGTCCCTGGTGACTCTCCAACCTTCGCTGGACTTCTCGACGAGGTTGAGTGGACTTGCCCACTGGCTGGACGATGGCCGGACGATGCCTTGGTCGAGCAGCCGCCCGATCTCTTCCTTGGCTGCCTGCAGACGTGGTCTGAGTAGGCGCTGAGGTCGCTCAAAAACCGGAGGTCCAGTCGTGTGGATGGTGTGATGCACCGGCAGATCTGGGAGCGCTGCGGTCGTAGCCTCTGGGAAGCAGAGATCTGCGTATTCTACGAAAACGTCAGCGTAGCGTTGACCCAGGTCTCCAGAGGGCGTGCGGGCTGGTGATGTGATAACCGACACGCTGTGGATGGTTGTCCGTGCTAAGGAGCCAGGCGTTGAGAGGCTGGTCATGGGATCGATGAGTCGCTTGCCCTTGACGTCCACAAAATAGCCGAAGTGAGCCAGGAAATTGGCTCCGATGATGGCGACATGGGTGTCAGTGACGATGGAACTCCAAGTTGCGGCGCGTCGAAGTCCCAACTCGATGGTCAAGATATGCGTACCGTAGGTGGCAATCGGCGAGGCGCTGGCCGCTGTGAGCGTTAATGGCTGGGGCTGCAGCTTGCAGTTCTTGATAAGGCCCTTGGGCAGCAGCGAGACGACGGAGCCGGAGTCGAACAGGAAGTGAATCCGGGACTCGCGGTCATAAATGTAGAAGCGATTCTCTGAAGGTCCTTGGTTGCCCGCCTCCGACACTTGAAGCGGAGGGGGCCCTACTGGTTTCCCTGCTTCGTAGAGGAGAAGGTGCAGGAGGCTCGGCAGTTTTCGGCAGCTGCTCCGAACTCTTGGTACCAGCACCAATCCGGGTTTGCTGGCGTATCAGACCCGGTTCCTCATCGTCCTGTAGAACGGGATCTGGAGCGGCTGCGGCTGGATCTCCGTTGCTGGTTATCGGCTGCGAAGAGTTGATTGAGCATTCTTCGCATGTCAGCCACCTCCTGGGCTAGACTGGATTCGGCGGGGTTGACTGGGGCCGTCGACGCAGCAGGCGGAGTAGGCGGCACCAGTGTAGCTTGCGCTGTCACGGCGTTGACGTGAGGCAAGGAATCGGTGAGTTCATCCGCCATAGAGCTGAGCTCGACTAAAGAAGCCTTTTTCATAATGCGGAGCATGCCGTTAACTTGCGGGGGGAGAAGATCAAGCCATCTGATTTTGAGGATCTCCTCTGTGACCTTCCCGGCTGCGAGGCTCTTCATTTGACGCAAGAGTTGGGACGGCTTGGAGTCAGCCAGCTGGAGCTGTCCAAAGAGTTTGCGCAATTGCGTGTCGGCGGACTCTTGGAAGCGGGTCAGGATTGCTGTCTTGATCGCCTGGAAACGTTCCGTGGCTGAAGGATTGGCGATGATATCGGATAGCTCGGAGACTGCTGCTCCGCTGAGAGCCTCGACAAACGCGATGTATCTCTGGCTGTCTTCTGTAACCCGTCGGTTATCGCCTGTTGGTCTGCCGTTGTTGAAGTGGTTTGTGCCCTTTCGGCGGCTATCACAGCCTACAAGTCCTGCCGCACTTGCTCCTCTTCTTTTTGTTGCTCTCGGCGTCGATAACGCTCCTCGCGCTTCGTTGTCGTCTCCTTGGCGTCCCCTAGAGCGGAGGTGCCTACGCCTGCGACGTGCGTGTCGCAAGGCGGTGCACTAGCACGTTATGACACTGCACTAGGCACGGAAGCAAAAACGCACGAGACTTGCTCGCATGGGAGATGGCGCTGTGTCTAGTAATGGCCGACCTTCGCTCCCGCTTGCCCTTGTAGAGCTCGTCGAAAGACCATGTGCCCAGAACAAAGGGAAAGGCTTTTTATAAAGCTAAGCTCACCCCCTCATGCAGCAATGTAGTGGCCTTGCGTGAGGACAGGCGAAGGGGGGGGACGAGATTGTCCGGCACGTCGCGCACTCTTTTACTGTGACACGCAAGAAACAAATAAAAAATAAAAAAAGGTTTCGCTTCCGAGAAAACAAAATGTCGAAGCACACGTGCATGGGTGTCTGGCGCTGTTGTGACAAAGAGAACTGTAGTCAAAATGGCTGCGAGCGTGGGCACACCATTGTTGTTTGGCACTTTTCTTGCGACACAAGAAGACAATGAATTAGACTCCCAAATTGCAACGAAAAAAAATTCTTTCTTTTACATCTACATAGAACTTAAAGTCTAAATTTGAAGTTGGAGATAGATCTGTGTAAGAAAATTATTACTATTACTATTATTTTTCAAGAAATAATAAAGTTGAAAGAAAAATGTTTTCATCGATGGTCCTGGTGGATCTGAAAAAACTTTTCTATACAAAACATTAATTTATTATTTCATATCAATTGATAAAAAAATTCTTACAATGGCTTGGGCAGGTATTGCTTCTATTCTACTTTCAAGAGGAATGACCACTCACAGAACTTTCAGACTCACTTTAGACTTAAGCACTATAGAAAGTGCGTTCTTCCAGTTTGAGAATGATCAACAAAAATTACGTAAGGTAAATTCAGGTAATTCGGGACACTTCAAATTCTTAAGCTAATTCGGGACACAGACTAAAAACTGTATTTATAAATGATAAACAAGTCTT